CTGAGTCACAAGCACCATTTTATTTCAGATTTTCTCTCTTTCTTTTCCCCTCTTTATAAAGGCAACTCATGCTGACTTCCAGATTCCTCTGGGTTATGTTTGGGAAGCAGTGGGGTAGGGTTTGATCTTGTCACTCCATTGTTACACTATTTCAGCCTTGCACTAAACAAGTAAGGAGCCATGCCAGCAGACCTGTCTAACACTACTGAGCAATTCTGATACACCACTGTTTGAATTTACTACCTACTGATTGTTCCCACCATTCCACAGGGTATGTAAAATGTAACATCTATCCATCATATTCTGCTATGCTGATAGACAAGAACTTGCTGGAGGGAACTGTTTGCATGAAGCTACAGTAGGGTGACCAAAGGAATACAAAGGGAATGCTTGTTTGCTCTATTACCCTTATGAAAATCGAAAGAACTATTGTGTCTAGTTCTTTAGGGGGAAAACAGCACAAAGACAGCAGACAGGACTGATCAGGGACCGCACAGGAGGCCCTGAAACAGCTAATAAATGCCTCTTTGGCCCCATTTACTACTAGTCACCCAACCTGCCACCTGATATAATGGGAGGCAAAGTAGATTTGGTGCACCTTGCAGTTGCCACTGGATGCAACCACCTTAGGGAGAAAACAACTATTTTAGCAAGGCTACAGCTGAGAATGATTTAAGCCTGTCTCACTCAAGGGTTGAGGATGAGATGAAGGCCACATCATGTGGACGTGACAGGAAAAAGAGGGTGCCAAGGGTATGTTTGTACCATGGTTAGGTGCAAGGAGGAAAAGGCCCTTTGATGTGAGTCAAGAAAAACCTTGCTTGGGTTTGCTAGCCTTTAAACAACATTAGCAGCTCCCCTTGATGACTATGCCTTTACATCATATCAGGTAGACAAGAAGACACCTTGGTCAGGAAATAGCATGTAAGGAGGGCTGTAAACAGTCTTCTTGAATGGAAGGCTACACATGGAATTCAACAACAGTCTGCAAAACATTTAGATCTGAACCATTTCAAGCATATAAATTTGTGAAACCACTGCTTGAATGCAAAAAGGGCTGTTTCAAGCATTTTGGCTGTGTTTTACACGTGAAACTGCTCTGTTTCTAGTGTGAAACACACTGTTTTGGGCTTGAAATTCTTCCCAAATGCTCAAAACAGTCAATTTTGTATTCAAAACAGTAGTTTCCCCCTCTCCCATAAAATTCAAGTTGCTTGGGTTAAAGATCTGCCTGATAACAGTAATATACCTACTAGACAGAGAGGACCGAATCACGGTTAAGCATAAAAATGTTTATATTTCATCATCCCATGGCAGATTTATTAAGTGGTGAGTATATCATTGCCTTATGCTCCCTGGTGTCTATTTAATTTAGCAGTGAGGAAAGCAATTGCATTATTCCATCTGCTTCTACAGTTCTTTAGGCTGATGTCAAGCTGACAGTCTTGTGTAGGGTGGAGGCAGTTAAAGGCTGCCACAGAGTTGACAAGCTGATGCTTTTTGAGCATCTGTTTTTCTTTCCATTTTTAAGAGCTTCATGCCTCGTCTACATATGAGAAGCCTGCACTGTTTTTGATCTGGATGAATTAATCCAGATTAAAAATTCTAGAACCAACCTTATACTTTTTCACATCCTAAGTCAAAATCAGAACAAAGGGCCTACTCATTTATTACATAAAAGTAAACATAAAGTGAAATTGAATATAGAAAAGCAGCACTCTTTGGGCCCTGTTGCATTTCTATATTGCTCCATTGTATGATTTAATCTGGTTTATTTAAATTCATCATTAAGAAACTTATTTGGTCATGTTTTTGTAGAAAACTACATGCAGGATGGAGGATCTACAAAAGAAACCCACTAAAAATAAACATTCTAAAAGAAAAACTTGGTAAGGTTTGTGGGTTTCTAAAGATTATGACAAATTATCATAATTACCATTTCATACATTTAATTTGTAAAGTAAAATTGCCACTTTGAATGTAAATACTCAAAAGAGAAAATATAAAAATTAAAAGGGCTATGGGGAAGTTTCTGGGGAAGACGAAACCAAGCGAAGTGAAGCAACAGAAAAACTTTACCTTTCAAAACCTCTTCTTTCTTAGAAGTGGGGGAGCCATGCTGTTTTGCAAAGCAGCCTTCTGGGAGTGCTTAAAGGTGGTGCCCTTCTAAACATGCCAGGGATAACAGTTCTTGCCCATTCTTCACTCACCCGTATCAATGTGTGTGACTTCTACATCTAACACAGGAAGCTAAAGCTTTGTTCAGAGGAGTAACTCACACATTACACAGAGAGAACCCTATTTGCCACCAAGCAAATATTCACAAGTGGGGGCTTGGAATATTTTGCCTGAAAGGCACAACTGAATGAGCAATACGCAAGCTATTTTACCTGTTTAGGCATCCAAATAAAGAAAGAAACCTTAGCTGTTTCTTTAAATAAAAGTACACAGGGTCCTTGGTTAATGACCACACGTTCAGTGACTGTTTGAACTTATGACAGCTCTGAACGAGTGGTACTTACAACCGGTCCTCAAAGTTCTGGCCATTGCAGCACCCCTGTGGTCATGTGATCGCTATCTGGGCACTTGGCAACGGGCCTGGATTTCCGACCACTGCAGCATCCCGCAGTCACGTAATTGTGATTTGCGACCTTCCCTGCCGGCTTTCAACAAGCAAAGTCAATGGGGAAACTGGCAGGAAGCGGTCATGTGAAGTCTTCGCTTAACAACCTATGGTGATTTGCTTAGCGATGGAAACCAGGAACTGCTAGAAATGCTATCACTAAGTGGCGCAGTCACATGATGTTGCGCTTTACGACTGTATCACTTAGTGATGGAAATTCCAGTCCCAATTCTGGTCATTAAGTGAGGACTACCTGTAGTGAGATTGGGCCAAGAAATACAATAGAATAAACAAAACAGAATTGGATAGGAGAGGGATTGTTTCCAAGCCACAGAACATAATTGTTCCATTTTATTCAGATCTTCCTTGGAGTAATATGTCCAGAATTTTAAAAAGCAAATTGGAATGATTTCCAGAAAGGCTTGTGAAGATGGTCAGTGGTATGGAAAGCATCCAAAAGAACAGAATACACAGACATTAGGTATGATGCTTTCTAGTACTCCAGAGGGGAGATTAAAGCTGGAGAGTAGATTATCTTTCGTGAAACTTCTTGAAAGTAAGAGTTGTTTGCAATGGCACTTGCTTACGGGAGGTTTCTAACCTCAAGTTACCTTACTGGGGAGTCTTTAGCTCTGAATTTCCTGCTTGATACAGGGAACTGAACTAAATTTCTCCCCTGAGACCTCCACCTCTATAAGTCTATAATCTTTATCTGCAGGCTGCATAGTCTTGATTTTCCACACTAGTGGGCGTTTTGAGGTCCTGGGTAAGAATGCACCCGGCTTAACCATTCTGGCGACCAACACCTTGGAACTGAAGCACTAACTCCTTTATTCCGTTTCTTTAATAGAGTTATGGAGTCTGCTTTGTGCCAATGGATGTTTGAATGAAGAACCCCCAGAGGGTGCTTTGCAAAACAATGTTGCTCCCTCCTTCCAATAGAAGTGTCAGAAAAGGCCTCTGTCGAAAGCCGCTTCCAAGTAAACATCAAAGGAGGTTGCAGGGTGTGTGCCTTGATGAGGCAAATCCAAAACCACCTGACACGAACTTAGTGATGTTTCTTCTTGCAAAGAGTCATTATTTATGGGGGAGAAATCTCTACTGTTATTTCAAGGGCACTATATCGTTCAAAAGGTAGCCTTGGAGGAGCGCTGAACTGTGGACAGGGAAAGAAATTAAAATTCCCAAGCATGGGGCAGGGCCTGCTAGAGACAAGGAGGCAATGGCTTGCCAGGGTTGAATCTGCCCACCTGGGAAGAACATCTCAAATGGCCTGCTGAGAGTCAACTCCCAATAGAGAGATGGAGACCAGGTGTTAGCCTGTCCATTGAGGGCCTCATGTTCTGGAATTCACCACCAGCAGAGGTTCATGAAGACCTTCCCTTCCAGGTGTTTCATAAAGTGGTTAAAACAGTGTTTCTCAACCCTGGGAACTTGAAGACGTGTGGACTTCAACTCCCAGAATTCCCCAGCCAGCCATGCTGGGGAATTCAGGGAGCTGAAGTCCACACATCTTTAAGTTGCCAAGGTTGAGAAACACTGGGTTAAAACAAGTGGTTTCTCCTGGCTCTTAACCTCTGCTTTTGTGGCATCCATGGGGGCCGCTTTTTGTTGGTTTTTACGCTTATTCTTATGGACACTGCTCAGAGTTTCAAGATTGGGGCAGGCCACAAAAACTTTAAAACAATCAATCAATCAATCGTTAGTGGGAGGTTAAATGGTAGCAGGATGCATTAGAATATCTGAGACACTTGAGATCAAAATGCTGTGTAGAAACATGGAGAACCTATCAGTCCATACCACTCTGCCAAAAAAAAATAAAAAATTGCAGCATTCATACCAAAAGAGAGAGAGAGAGAGAGAGAGA